ATCATTATAGCATTTGAAGATTTGCCAGATGATGTATATCTTTGCAACACCTTCTAAGTGAGGAAGCACTCTAATCTGAGTTTGAAGCTAGAACTGTAAGAGCTTCTAATAATTCCGTGTACCCATTTTGTTTACAGATCATACATTCCAAACCCAGTTTGAATAGATCTTATATTGCAACTCTGAGCATTCAGCCATTGGCAATTAAGTATTAGGATCTCAAACTGATTACCCTAAAATGAAGGACACCATCCAAAAATGTTTAGGCAGGTTTCCTAGCATTGCATATACTGATGAAGACATTGGAGAGATGTTTGTTAGCTTTTGTGACTTTCTTTTGTGAGCTATGAAATTATCTGTTGCCTCCATAAATACTCCCTCAGCTGCCCAGGAACAGACAGGCTGAAACCCAGAAAGTGACTGGCTAATAGCTTTCACCATGGATTTTTGTTCATAAATCTATTCAATTTGTTATTTCTACCTACTGGGTTTTTTCAAAGGAAACCAAGGTGGTTAAGTATTACCATTTGAAAAATTTTAGGATAAGATTCATATTAGGAATTCTATACAGATATTTCAAAATCTAGATGGATAACCACACAAAACAAATGCATATGTTCCAACCTTGTTAATTCTGGGAGTCTGTGATTCTGTTCCATACAAAGTCAGTCAGCTTTTAACCTTTCTCTTCTATGAGGCAAAAGGAAGAAATTAAGAAATAAAAGGGCAAAGTACTGTTAGATAAAGAAATAATTTCTCTCCTCACAACAGTAATTACATAACAGTAAGAAGATGAAGCTCAATATATACAGCTTCCCTTCATGACTGGACAGGTCTTTAAGGCATATTTATTCAATGCAAGTGTGGATATAGATGTGTAACTACATAAAACTATCATGCTAAAAAAAATCTGTAGAAAGCAACTATACGTAGCTCCAATTGTTGCTTCTAGGGGTATTTTCCTACTTATGTGTTTTTCCTTTGCATCTGAATTATACATGTTTTCTATATTTAATTTGCCCACTTAAAAAAGGAAATGCTGATGCTAAGATCTTTTTGAAAGATCTGCTTTGCATTGCTTAAATTAAACTCTGATACTCTCATCTTCAAAAGATCAGAATTTTCATAACAGCAGAATTTAAGCCTTTTATTATGATAAAACAGATTACAGGAATTTTGGATTTTCTCTATTGAACTGCTCATGGCAACAAGAAAATACATGTAGCCTACAGACTAATCATATAATATAAGACAGCAGTGAGTCTTCCTTGCCTGCTTTAACCTGATCTAAATGGCATTGACAAATTGGACCAACAAGGTCCAATATTTTCATCTCTAGGTTAAGTATCAAAGCATCTTCTAAATGTGATAGTAAAGGGAAAGGCTAAACTTTTAACAGATTCTGCCAGTTTCTTTGAATCCTTCCAAAATTTTCTGCCTCACTTTTTCAGAAATCTTATTTCTATATCCCTTAACATGAATTTTCAAACTCATTATTTCAGCAGATCATGGAATTATTGAAAAACATTTAATACTCTATTTTCATATGTAAACATGTAAATCTGATTTTAGAAAACCTCTTGTTCCATCTATAGAGTTATCAGGTGTCTGCAGTATTATGCTGAAGAAAAATAACTCTTTATTGCCTCTTTTTACCATTGGATAAATTAAAATAATAAGTCTGTCCATTATGGATAGAATGGTTCCGTCCTTCTTTATAGACAGTATCAAAGTATCAAACCTACTATTTTCTTTTTTCCAAGTATGTCCCAAAGCATTTGAACAGACAGATTTTTTTTGTTTTGGTTTTGTTTTAGTTCAGTAGAACAGCATTATTGCCTTCAAAAGTTTCTTTCTCAGGAGAGTAGCAAGCTATATCTATGTTATTATTCTATTCCAGCCTATGAAGAATACAGTTCTGGGACCTAATTCCAATTATTTAACTTATCAACAGTGAATTGTACTTAGTTTAAAGATTTCATTTCAGATTACTATGTTGAAAGAACTCTTTGGGGTTTTTTTTCAGTATGTCAGACACACCTAGTTTTCATTCTGTCCTCTGATTAAAGTTAATGAGGTATGTGCTTGTATATCAAAATAAAAATAAATTAATATTCACTTTTTTATACAAATATTTTCAAATTATCTCTTCCATCCTGATACTTACAATTAGCATGTTTAAATTCAAAGGGCTCCAAATCAAACTGTAAATGGATAATGAAATTTAATATTTTTTTATAAACTTTTCTACCAAGAACTCTTTTTAAAAACTTACTTCAGCTACTGTTCTGATTATACAAAATTTTGTTGGATGCATACTGATTTTGTAGCCTACTGTAAAATGGGGTCAGTCATATTATCTAACCCAAACAAAGATTCAAATAAAACTAAGTTTCTTTGCACTTTCTTCCAAAGCCAGACATATAAAGGTCTAAGTAAAGACAAAATTTTGGAAATGGTTGCACATATCTTCATATGTCTTCTCTTTAAGGTCACACATTAGTTATCTTCCTGGAATTAAACCCTACAACTACAGCAGTCATAAAAATCTTGTGAACTTTTTTTAGCACTATATAGTTGGTCATATTGATCACATTGCCTGCAGTGTTATTTTTACAGACAAAAATTAAATCAATATTAGGATCCAAAATAGGTCTTAGTACTGCTTTTATGACACTTCTTAGAAGAAATGTAGCATTGACTATTGTAAGATCTTGTAAAAAACATACAGCTTTATATTTCTTGATTTTTGTGTGGTTTTGAGGTTTTGGTTTTTGGGTTTGGTTTGGTTTATTTGTTGGTTGGTTGATTTTTTTGTTGGGTTGTTTTATATCTCTCCCAGAAAAGCAAGTTTTCCTCAAAATCCAAGAAAGAATGACTACATAGTGACCTAGAGAAAACAGCTTTCCAGCAACACCTAATCTCTATGTTGAGCAGGTTTTAGGCTATGGTATAACTTGTACAGCTCAGTGCTCACTTTGTACATGAGGAGAACAGATTGAAACCAGGGAAATATCTCAGGTGAGAAATGCCAAAAAAAAAAAAAAAGGTCTCCAAGCCTGTGGTACTCTCACAAAACTATTTACTCACCACATTAAATCAATTAAAAACTTTCCAGGCTTTAGACTGATGCGGGCAGTTTATGTTATATCCCCTAGTCTTCTTCTCATCAGTCTTGTAACATGAGAAGTATTCTGATCAGCTTTATTTTGCTATTCAAAGATGCTCACCAAAATAATTATTCAACAGATGGAGTTACATTCATCTTCAAGTAAAAGGAAAAGAGACTCAGTTCAGCACCAGAAGAGGTGTTAGAGGACACCAAGAATTGAGAAAGGAGTATTTATTTCAAAGAACTGCAACTGCTCATGAGGGTTGTTTTTGAAGTGCTGCAAATACAATCCCATGTTCATTTTTAAAACTCTTAAAAATCCATTAAATTAGTAAGAAATTATGTGAACTAGTAACTGAAAAAATTATATGAGATATGTAGATTTAAAAATGGAAGAAAACTGTACTGCAAGGATGGATTTTTAAAAAGCCAAAATATTTTCTAGACTAATAAATTAATAAAACACCAAACCCCAAAATATTGATTTTGCTGCAGAAAGGATTTACTACAGTATTTTATTCAGATTTTAGTTTTCCCATGTCAAAAATATGTCATGACCCCACTGGGGAGGAGGGGAAGAGTGTGGCAAGTCCTCTCCCTGATGAGAAAGAAGCAGCAGAGACAATGTGTGATGAACTGGCCACAGCCATAATTCCATGTCCCCCGAGCCTCTGATGAGAGGAGATAAAGAACTCAATCCCTGTGAAGGAGGGAGCAATGGGGGAAAGGTGTTTAAAGACTTACTTATTGTTTCTCCTTACCCTGCTCTGATTTGACTGACAATAAATTAAACTTATTTCCCTGAGTCAACTCAGATTCACCCATGCCAGTAATCAGTGAGTGATCCCTACCTGCCCTTATCTCGCCCCACGGACATTTTGTTTTCCTTTCTTTCCCCTGCCCAGCAGCTTTGGCAGGCACCTGATATCCAGCCAGGGTCAATTCGATGCCACTTCTTTTTCTTCTAGGTCTTTATTCACACCCCTGCCCACCTCCCCCTAATTAGTCCCACCTAAAAAAGATTACATGAACTTATTTTTGTGAAGATAATCTGGTTTATGAATTAACATTGTCTTTGAATTTCTACTATGTATTAGAGAAACTGCAGATACACTGACCAAGGCAGAGATACAGACAAGGAAAGGAAATTCAGTCCCGTTAAATCAACGCCATTTTTTCAGAGAATGAAAAAAGTAATTTGGAAGGAGCAAAGTCCAGCCCATACAGATAAATCAGAAAAACCTCCTATTTTTTTCAAATTTGAAGCACAAAATATCTGTTTTGAGGTGAGTATGGATATCTGCTGTATGCTGGAGATATCACCACAGAAACAGCTGTCATTGTTACTATCTAACACTCAGAAAGAGGTAAGACACACTTAGTGGACTTATTGGCATCTTCACATGCATTTAAGAAGGCTATGAGCAGACATGCTTTAGGACAACCAGAAGCTTCCACCTGGACAAAAATAGATTAAGTGGTTTAGAGAAAATGTCAGAGGATAAACCAATATCCTAAAGAGGTATATAAAGAGAGAGATTTTAATGAGCAAGTAAAAATAGAAAACCTAAGCTAAGAAAAAAAAGGTGCTTGCAAGACTTTTTGCCATTTATCTTTCTACTAACATATAATGTGTTTTGTCATGAAACAGTCTTTACTCAGAGCACTATACTTTTGCTAGTGCTGGGAATGTGAACCCTTCAGCATATTGTTGCTTCCCAAAAGTCTTTGCTAAAGGAAAAGAAAATTCTTTCCATTTTTCCAGATGAGCTTGATAGTGACTTAATGATTTTAATTGACCTCCTATGTTTCTTTTCATGTGCCAGCACTGCACCTCATTTGACCTCAGGCTTGCAGAAACTAATTAAATATGGGCACAGAGACAACTTAAAAATTCCAGAGACAATAGAGATAACAAAAGAATACTTCCTCTACTTTTTTCCTCCTATTTTTTGAAGAAAGGAGTTCTATATTCTGAGCAAAAACCACACACTGTCCTAGTTAATAAGATCATCTGGGATCAGTTACTGCTAGGCATAATGATTCCTTATTCCAGATGTGAGAATGAGATAGCTGCCTATCTCTGTAGAAAAGGAACACTGGCATTCACCTGAAAGATTGATGCTTGCATCATTTTCATACACACATGTCTGGAGGGGCTACTGTCCACTATGGTTCTCCTGAAGGGGACAATCAGTGAGGAAAATGAGTTTGTATAAAGAGTAGCACTCTGTAAAAAAAACCCTTTTAAAATCTTTTTTCTCCAAGTAGTAGACAACTGATTCCAAAAATTATGCTTGCATGTACATGTACTCTATTAAACACAAATATCTGCCCAAAGAATGTATTTTCAAAAGCCAGTCTAAACCTGAGTTGCTGGAGGAGATGTTCTATCTTCTTCCCTGGGCACTCTGTGTTTTCAATCCGCCTCCAGCTCTTCCACTCATGCAGCTATGCAGCCATCCAGACCAAAGATATGCTGAAAGCAAACAAAGAGAAATACACCAAACCAATCAAGTTTAGCTCAAGTAGGATTTTGACTGTCACACAAACATCAGTCCTGCAATATGCAGGAAAGTTAATATTTTCAGTAGCAGGAGGCTTAAGGTAATTTAAGTAAATCAAGAAATTAAGTGCTAAGAGGAAAATGAGGTGTTATTCATCACCTGTACAGTGCAGAGTTTACAAACAGGCATTCTGTAGTTTTATTCTGCTGCACCGTGTGCAGCATTTTGCAGGATATTGGGCTTTTACGCAGGTATTTTTTTCACATGTTGCAAACTGGAGATCAGCAAAAGGACATGCTGAAGAAGCCACAAGGTCAATGTGTTACTAAACAAGATGAACACAGTTCCATCAACTTCCATAGGAAATCTCATCTACTGAGATATTTCTTGCATTTTTGTATGAAACATTATTTCTGAACCAAATAACTTCATCCCAACGGACTGCATCATAAAAGACTGCCTGGTATGATGTGAAGGGCACCAACTACTGTAGTGAATACACCAATGCCTTGAGATAACGTGCTCAGTCTCAAAATGTTGAGCCAGAAAATAAAAAATACTGCAACAAAGAAGCCCCCTAGAAAGCAAAACAAAAAAACCCCCACCCAACAAACAACAAAAACAAAAAGCTGCACAGAGACACAGAAAGTCTGTATAACAGGCACTTTCATTGTCTCATCTTCTACTTGCAGCTTCTAGATGCATAAATAATTTTCATGTCTCTGGTCTAGTGTTGTAGGCTTTGCTCTTTTCAGAATATACCTGGAAGTATCACTTGCTGTAATCCTCCCTACCAGATAATGGATGTTGCCCTACTAGCTATAAATATTTCTGCATTTTGTACAATTGAGTGTCCATACATGATGTCTGCACGTAGAGTAGTAGTGCCTTTCCACTAAGGCACTAGAAAGGCCTGAGATTTGGTCCTGAATAATTTGTTTGAGATTGAAAAGCACAGGCTGCTTCACAGAATTGTCTCACTTATAATAGAGATAAGTGGGGCAATGTTATCTTTTGGATTGCATCCAGTTCCCTTGAGTGAATGAGCTAAAAATACACTAACCTACTCCAAAACTTCTTACTACAAATGCAGCAGTTTCGGAGCATCAGCGTAGAAATGTTGTCAATCCCCTAAACGGGCTTTTATTATGCAGGTATTCCACTGCCTGTACGTAGTTCTCTGCTTGGAAGGCTGCGATATCTTCCTTGGAGCCAGCAGGTGGAGAAATACTTCCATTTAAAAAAATATCTGTGTGGGGAAAGGCAAGTTCAGCAGCTATGGAGGGAATGCGGCTGTACTTTCCAAATCTATTCCTTCCTGATCATGAAAACTATCCCAGTCAGTTTCCTAGGTAACCCTATGAAACAGAGAATGCTAGTAGAGACTGGAGGAAGTAAAAAAACAAATATAATTTTAAGTTAGCCTTCCATAAAATAAGTTAAGAAATGTCAGCTTTGATTGGATTCAGAAATTTAGTTTGATATTATTTCCCATGCACACAATGGGTTGTAGATGACACCACCATTTGCACACAATGGCTTAGAATGATTTTATAAGATACTAGAGTATTGCACCTTTTTTGTTTTGTTTTTTTTTAAGATTCATACCCTGGCCTATTCTAGTTTTTATTGTTGAAGCACAGTATTTTTATTGATCAGTTATCCTGTATAGAAGCATGAAGGCTTATACTAAGGAATATGAACAACATACTGTCATTTCATGCACTTTGATGCAGAATACTTTTCAGATAACAGTCAGCAGATGACACATATTAACTCAGGAACAGAACAATAGATGAATAGATAATCAAATATTCTTCTTATCTGTTCTTCTAGGAAAAAAAAAAAACAGATTGTATTGGAATAAAACTGCATTTAAAATGTACACAGAATTCATGTAAAGCAAAACCAATCACCTTCCCCTTTCTCAAAATGAAATTTCTTGCCCTCTATATTCACATCATGCACTCAGTAGCTGTCTATATTTAAAGCCTGGAGACACAGGCTGTAAAATGCTCTTGATTAAGAGAGACTATAAATCAAGTAAAACACAGGACATTAAGCTATTATTATTTTCAAATTCGTATGCATCCACTCAACCTTATTGTCATATACAAAGCATGCATGGGTCTGAAATGTAGAAAGGAAAAAAAGATAGAGATCTGTGCATTTCACCACAGCACTGCTCACAAAACTCAACTGGGTCAGCACAGTGGACCAACAGATTGATAAATTTGGTCATTATACTTTAGATGAAAACTTTTCAGAGAATTTAAGGGTGCCAGTATTAACTATAATTATAATTTAAGCAGTCACTTTGATTATTTTCTGTTGATTCTTTTCAACCTCAACCCATCTTTTTTTCAAAACTCCTTGGTGATAGGCAGAAGTACCAATAAGTAGCTGTAGCTGCATCTTCTACTATGCAGGCTTTCAGCTGGAGACCTACAGTAATTTAAGGGAGGAACCTGATTTTACTCAGCTTGGTCTTTATGTACTGATAAGTTTAACTGAATCTACAAACTAAGCATCTAATATAACCACTCAGTGATATCATTTTTAAAGGCAGTTCCTACAAGATTTTTAATTTTAGGAAAGTGTTTATCCACAGCTAAGAGATGTTGCATGATCAGTGCTCAGTCAATATATGTCTTTCAGTGCCCCAGTACCCAAAATACTTAACACACATTTCCAACGAAGTAGCCTTTGAAAAAGTAGGCAACCAGATTTTTAGAGAGTGCAGGAGAGCTTTTCAACTGGTGCTGCCTTTCAGCCTCACATAAAATGATTTCTACTTCACACCTGACTTAAAATCAGAATTCTCATTAATATGGGTATTTTCTGCATTTTAGTTGTGAGGAGTAAAATGCTCCTAACATGCAGCCTTTCCCTGCTAAACTCCAGATCAATTAGCATTAATAAGAGGATAAACTGTCTGGCTGTCATTTTTCACCATTTTTAGGGGTTTCTCTCATGCCCACAGCTTCAAAGACCTGTAACCTCTCCAGTGTGCTCTGTATCGCTGTCTGCAGCAGATGGTGCTGAATGAAGGCTGCATTTTGGACATCTGCAATCCTCAACAACCTAGGCAACCAACCATTTTACAATTTAGAAGTCCAGCTGAAACTGAAACATTTTGTCTGGCCAGGTGAAGTCACAAATAAACATACTTTTAGTTTGTGCCTTGGACAGACTTGACAAGCTGACTGTAATCTAGAAACCCAAGGTAGCCTGAAACTATACCTAAATACATGGTCCCTCTCATGGGCTACACAGCTTACATTTGCTGTTGGTCAGGTCAGGATGTTTACTCAGATGTGCCCCCATATAGACATGCCTCAGAAACATCAATTAAAGGCATTTATTGAATAATTTATAGGTCCTTTCTAAGTAAAATTTTCTTAGCAATATTGGGTTTTAGTTGGTTGAGACATTTTAGATATTTTTTCTAAATATAGAAAAAGCAAACCTCAGCTGCTCTCTAGTTACCATAGCAACTGCAAGGTATTATGGCACTTATCTGGGAGCATATATATATATATAGCATTTTCCATGTATAAAATTAATATTTGAATCAACTTTTATATATGCTGAGATTGTTTTTTTTCCATTTTGCCTGCTTTACAGGTGACCCCTCAGTGGAGATACAGGAGTAGAAACCTGTTAGAATGCTATTAGAATCATAGAATCATTTAGGCTGGAAAAAACCTTTAAGATTGAATCCAGCCATTAAGCCAGTAATACCAAGCCCACCACTAAACCATGTCCCCAGGTGCCACATCTATACACCTTCTAAGCATCTCCAGGGAGGATGATACAACCACTTCCCTGACCTGCTTGTTCCAATGCTTTTCATGAATAAATCTTTCCTAATATCCAGCCTAAGCTTCCTCTGATGCAACTTGAGACCATTTCCTCCTCTCCTATCACTTGCTACTTAGGAGAAAACACCACCCCCCACATGGCTAGGTACATGTGGAGAGCAATAAATTTCCCTCTGAGCCTCCTTTTCTCCAGGCTAAACTGCCCCAGGTCTCTCAGCTGCTTCCCATAAACTTGTGCTCCAAACCCTTCACCTGCTGCCCTTCTCTGGACACACCCCAGCACCTCACCCTTTATTGTAGCGGGGGGCCCAGAACTGAACACAGGATTGAAAGCATGGCCTCACCAGTGCTGGGTGCAGGGGGGAAGTTAAGCATTATATCAAGCCACACAAAACAAACTTGTTCTGTAAGCCTAATTCACAGTAACCTGGTTTTTCAGACACAACTTACCTATGCATTTTTTTGCCCTGCATTAAGTTTTTAGTAACATCTCACTTTAACTGCCACGACAGGGTGAAAAAGAGAGCAGCAGCATGTTTAATCTGTACAAAAACAACCTCGAGTTATATTTTAACCAAACTACAAAACTAATTATTGTGTGTATTTATGACATTCATACTGTATTATGGTATGCAAACTTGTATAGTTTTAATTTGTCATGGAATCATGGAATGGTTTGGGTTAGAAAGGATCTTAAAATACATAAGCCTCCAAACCAACTTTATGTCCAAACTGCCATAAAGTTCCAAACCACCTGCCATAGGCAGGGATGCCTTCCATTAGATCATGTGGTTCAGAACTCCATCTAACCTGGCCTTGAACTCTTCCTTGATTTGATATCACAACTTCTGCAGGCAACATCTTCCAGTGTCTCAAACCATGATAGTGAAGAATTTCTTCCTAACAATCTTAATCTACTCTCTTTTATGTTTAAAACTATTACCTCTTGTCCAATCACGAAATATTCTGCTATTCTTGATTTTAAAGTTACTAAAATAATTGTTAGGAGGAAAAAACCCAAACAAAGGGGAGAGATATTTTAAACTGCTTTTTTTCAATTTTATTCAATGAAATTTCTATTGTGATTAACCCAGTTCTATGTCAAATCAAGCATTTATCAGCTCTACATTTCAATAATGCAACTTAAG